CTATGTAGAGTGTACTCCCAGAGCGGTATCCTACCTCTGTGCTTTGGAAGCCGCAACAGAGGACAGATGCCGCTCTGAGAGTACGCTCTATGGTTGTACACTCTGCAGCCCACAACCATAGAGCGTACTCCCAGAGCGGTATCCTACCTCTGTGCTTTGGAAGCCGCAACAGAGGACAGATGCCGCTCTGGGAGTACGCTCTATGGTTGTACACTCTGCAGCCCACAACCATAGAGCGTACTCCCAGAGCGGCATCTATAAAGCCCTGGTAAGACCACAGCTAGGGTACTGCGTCTAGTTTTGGTCACCACACTATAAAAAAGATGTTGAGACTCTAGAAAGAGTGCAGAGAAGAGCAACCAGGATGATTAGTGGACTAAAACGTATGAAGAATGGTTACAGGAACTGGACATGGCTCGTCTAGTGAAGAGAAAGGCCAGGGGAGACAGTGTTCCAATATTTGAGGGCTGCCACAGAGAGGAGGGGGTCAAGCCATTTTCAAAATCACCTGAAGGCCCGACAAGGAATAATGGATGGAAATTGACCAAGAAGGGATTCAACCTAGAAACAAGGAACTTTCTGACAGTGAGAACAATCAACCAATGGAACAGAAGTTGCCTTCAGAAATTGTGGGAGCTTCATCACTTGAGACTTTCAAGAAGATATTTGACTGCCGTTTGTCAGAAATTGTGTAGGGTCTCCTGCTTGGGTGGTGGTGGGTTGGACTAGATGAGCTACAAGATCCCTTCCAACTTTGTTAATCTGTTAAATCTGTTAAATCTCCTAAAGATCATCTTGAATTCCCTGGAACACTGTTGAAAACCAACTGGCTCCCAATACAGGAGAATATTTGTAGCTCAGAGTTGAAATGAGGAATCCTTGGTGCTCTTTGAGCTTGGTTGTCTTCTTGCAGACGTTTCATGTCCCAAACTAGGTAAACTAGTTGAGGTTCATGATGATGACTAGCACTGATGATGTTACCTAGTTTGGGTCATGAAACATCTGCAACCAAGTTCAGAGAGCACCAAGAATCCCTCAACTGGCCTTCTGTTTGTGATGGACGCATTCTTCCCCTTCCTAAAATTGGTTGTCTCTTTTTCTCTCTCCATTCCTTCTTTCTTTGCTATAGTTCTGTGGGACCATTGTTGTTATTTTCATTCTGGAGTTGGCCTTGGCTGTTCTGGCGTTCTTGTTCCAGGACTGGGTGAAAGACCGAGTAGAAACTTTCTTCAAAAACAACATTAAGGCCTACAGAGATGACATTGACTTGCAGAACCTCATTGATTCATTGCAAAAAATGGTAGGTTGTTGGGTTAACTGTGGCTGATCTACATCACATTTTGTTTTAAATTAAATTAAATTATTACATCCTTGAGTTACGAATATAATGAAGCCTACCCATTATAGTTGTAAGTTGTGATGGTCATAAAACAGGTCAGTCACGTGATTTAAAAATCTTTACAGAGGTCATTAAGCAAATAAAGTGGTGCTAAGTGAATGCTGCAGTGGTTTAGCCAAAACCCATTGTGTGCAAGAGTGCGGTTTTGCAGAAAACTGGAAGGAAATCCAAAACTGGAAGGAAGACAAAACCATCACAACATGGGGTCATGTGACCAGGGGACACTACAAATGACCAAAAATATGGCTATGTGCTAAGTATCTGAAGTGTGGCCATGTTATTATGGTGGCAGGGCGACACTTGAAATTTGGATCCAGGTCATAAGTCCCATTTTTCTGGTAGGTCATACTACCAGAAGCAAGGTTTTACATGTAGACAAGAAAAACCAAAGGTACAAGTATAGCTTACTCAAAAACAGTAACTGTGAGTGGGACCTTAG